TCACCAGTTCACCCCTGCCTACGAGCGTGTGACACACTACACGTGTGCTCAGACAGGTCATCACCTGGCTACCTTCACTCGGCAGCCGGGGTCGGGCCTGTACACACTGACCGCTGAGTCCCCTCAGGTAGCTGCGTCTGCGTCTGCGTCAGGTCAGCTAGCGGCCCCCTGCTCGTGTTGCGCCTTGTCGCACCAGACCCTCCTTTGGCACCACCGCCTTGGTCACCCCTCGGTGCAGCACCTTCGTAGCATGCACCCCCGTGTCCTTGTCTCTGGTCTTCCCAGGGTTCTGCCTCCCCTCCCACCCTCGCCTGCTCCTCCCTGTCTTCCTTGTGTCGAGGGGCGGCAGCGCGCCGCTCCTCACTCCTCCTCGTTCCCTCCCACAGAGGCTCCCTTGCAGACTCTCCACCTGGACGTGTGGGGCCCAGCCCGCGTCCGTGGACAGGGCCACGAGCGGTACTTCCTGCTGGTCATAGACGACTACACGCGTTACACCACGGTCTTCCCCTTGCGCACCAAGGGTGAGGTCCCTGATGTTTTGATCCCTTGGATCCGCGCTGCCCGTCTATAGCTCCGCGAGCGGTTCCAGAATGGGGTTGCTGAGCGCCGCATTGGCTTAGTCATGGAGGTCGCTCGTACCTCCATGATCCATGCGGCTGCCCCCCATTTTCTGTGGCCGTTTGCGGTCTGGTACGCCGCACATCAGCTCAACCTCTGGCCCCGTGTCTCCTTGCTGGAGACCTCGCCCACACTGCTGTGGACGGGGAAGGTTGGCGATGCGTCGCGTTTCCGGGTCTGGGGTGCTCGTGCCTTTGTCCGCGATACCACCGCGGACAAGCTCTCCGCCCGCGCTGTTCCCTGTGTCTTCCTTGGCTTTGTCCCTGACGCGCCTGGTTGGCAGTTTTACCACCCCACCTCACGCCGTGTCTTCCCCTCTCAGGACGTCACGTTCGACGAGTCGGTTCCCTTTTACCGTCTCTTCCCCTACCGCACCGCCCCTCTCCCCCCCCCCCCCCCGCCGCTCTTCCTCGCTCCATGTGCTCCCCAGGTAGACCCCCTCCCCACTCCCGGTCCTGCTCCTTCAGGTGTCTCCCAGGTAGACCATCCTCCCTCGACTGCGCCGGTTGAGGTCACTGGTGACTCAGGTCCTGCTGAGAGTGTTCCTACTCGGGGTGCTGCTTCTGGGGGTGCTGAGCCTGCGGGTGCGGAGCCTAGGGGTGCTGAGCCTGGAGGTGCGGAGCGTGGGGGTGTGGAGACTGGAGGTGCTGAGCCTGGGCGTGAGGAGTCTGGGGGTGCTGAGCCTGGGGGTACTGAGTCTGGGGGTGCTGCACCTGTCGGTGCTGAGGCGTCTGGTGAGTAGTCTCCTTAGAGCGATCGTCTGCGTAGTCGCCCCACTGGTGCCTCGCCGCTGCACTCTCGTCGTCGACTCCCTCTCTCCGCACAGCAGCTGTTTGAGTGGTACGTTGGTCGTCAGGGTCGCGCTGCTGGAGCTAGGGGCCCTGCTGCGGGAGGCGCTGGAGCTTGTGACTCTGCTACTAAGGGTGCTGGAGTTGGAGCTGCTGGAGGTTCTGGAGCTGCTGAGGGTGCTGGCGCTGGAGGTTCTGGATCTGCTGAGGGTGCTGGCGCAGGAGATTCTGGAGCTGCTGGAGGTGCTGGCGCTGGTGGCGCTGAAGCTGGAGGTTCTGGAGCTGCTGAGGGTGCTGGCGCTGAGGGTTCTGAGTCTGCTGTTGCGCGGTCTCCTTGGAGTAGCCGCCTTCGTCCGCGTGTGCCTCTCACCTCACAGCAGCTGCACGACTGGTACGGTCGCCGTCAGGGTCGCACTTCTTGAGCTCGGGGCTCTGCCGCTGGAGGTACTTCTGCTGACGTCACTGGAGCTGGGAGTGGTGATGGTCCCGGAGGTGCTCGTACCGGAAGTACTGGAGCTGCTGGGGCTGGAGGTGCTGAGCCTGAGGGTGCTACTGCTGGAGACCCTGGGACTAGAGGTGCCGGTTTTGGGGGTGCTGCTGCTGGTGGAGCTGGTCCTGGAGGAGCTGGAGCTGAGGATTCTGGAGCTGCTGGAGGTGCTAAAGCTGCTGAGGGTGCTGGAGCTGTTGGTGCTGGTGGCGCTGCACAGCCGCGCGTGTTGTTTGCTCCACCATCTCTGTCGTCTCAGCCACCGTCTGACTCTGTGCTTCACCAAGTTCTTAGTCTCCCTTCGTCTACTAGTCTTCCGTTACAGCCTGGCTCACCGCTGCCTGCTCCTTCTCCTTACACTGAGAGGACAGGGGGCCTTACTTAGCGTCGTGAGCTTGCGTCGCGTCCTGTCTCGCCTGTCCGTCCTAGTCGTTCCGGTCGTCGTGTTCCTCGGCCGCGTCAGCCGGCTGTCCCCGGCACCCACCTCGTAGTCCGTCGTCCTACCTCTCCTCCGCAGTGTGTTCCCCTGCCGTCCCCTCCTGCGTCCTCTCTGCTTACCGCTCTTGAGCCTGAGTCTGACTGCACCCGTGCTGCTCACCCTACTGTCACGCGTCTCCTAGCCACAGTTGTCACTGACCCGTCGCTTGAGTCTGCTACTGCGTGTGCCTTAGTCGCTGAGCTCGTTGACTTTGCTGCTGCCTGACGTCTACACTACGCCGCTAGTCTTGTTGCTGAGTCTGAGTCTGTCTGTCCTCCGTCCGTCGGGGGTGAGTGTGCTCTTGGCACGGACGTCCTTGAGGACAGGCAGTAGGACCTTGAGTGTCTAGCAACCGCTGCACCTCATCTCGTGTCCATGCTACTTGCCCCTAAGGGAGACCCGGATGCTCTAGACATCCCGACCCCGCGCTCTTACGCTGAGGCGATCGCGGGTGAGTACTCCTCTCAGTGGCAGACAGCCATGGACGCAGAGATGGCATCCTGGAAGTCCACAGGCACCTACGTCAACGAGGTTCCCCCTCCTGGGGCGAACATCGTCAGTGGCATGTGGATTTTCAGGGTGAAGTGGCCGCCAGGTTCTCCGCCTGTTACTTCAAGGCTCGTTACGTTGCTCGAGGCTTCAGTCAGCGGGAGGGAGTAGACTTCTTCCAGACCTTCTTCCCCACCCCGAAGATGACCACTCTTCGGGTACTGCTGCACGTTGCCGCTCAGCGTGACTACGAGCTTCACTCTCTTGACTTCAGCACAGCTTTCTTACAGGGCAGCCTGCACGAGGAGATCTGGCTGCGCCGCCCTCCTCGCTTCACTGGGTCGTTCCCTCCTGGTACCCAGTGGAGCCTCCAGCGGCCAGTCTACGGTCTCCGCCAGGCGCCACGTGAGTGGCACGACACACTGAGGACGACACTTGCTGCTCTTGGGTTTGCTCCGTCGACTGCCGACCCGTCGCTGTTTCTGCGCACCGACACTTCGCTGCCGTCGTTTTACATCCTCGTGTACGTCGACGACCTGGTCTTTGCCACTACTGACACTGAGGCTCTCGCCCACGTGAAGTCGGAGCTGCAGAAGAGACACACGTGCACAGACCTGGGTGAGCTGCCTAGTTACCTTGGCTTGCAGATCACCCGGGACAGAGCACGCCGCACCATCACCCTGACTCAGTCACACATGGTGCAGCAGGTCCTTCAGCGCTTCGGCTTCACCTGGTCCTCGCCACAGCACACTCCTCTTGCTACAGGTCACTCGCTCTCAGCTCCACCTTCGGACGAGTCAGTAGAGCCGAGTGGTCCTTACCCAGAGCTAGTGGGCTGCCTCATGTACGTGATGACCTGCACTCGTCCTGACCTTGCATACCCTCTTGGCCTTCTGGCTCGCTACGTGGCTCCTGGTCGGCACCGAAAGGTGCACATGGATGCTGCTGAGATGGTACTACGCTACTTGTGCAGTACATCGGGCATGGGGCTCGTGCTTGGAGGGCGGAGCCCAGTTGTCCTTACTGGGCACTCAGACGTTGCTTGGGTTGACGACCAAGCTACACACTGTGATCTGCTGTTGTTGTTACATATATATCTCTGCATGTGAACTGGCCTTGTGGCCTGTTGTTTGTGCTCAGACTGCGTGGTGACGTTGTGATCCACCATGAGCTTGCTTTGCACTTCCCGACTGGTCTTGTGACCCTCTATTCTCCCCCACTTTGCCTATGGGGGTGTGTCAAACATTTAGTTATATGTTATAGTTTGGGTAGGCTTTAGTGGGGTATTCATTGCGGGGTACAACCCCTTAGGTTATACTTTTGTACCAAACTCTCGATAGTCCATTCAATCCTTTCCCTTTACTCTCGACACCATGCCATCCTAAACTCAGGTTTGCTCACATGTGTGACGCCGTAAGTGTCGTAGGTGTTGCTATACGTCACCAGCTCAAAGTAAAACGCTGGCTTGCTTTTACTAAGAGGAATCGTCCCAACCGTGCGGATCACTGCGTCTTGAGTAAGGCACCAGATGTACTGTAGTGATGTGTTGCTGCCAGGAGAAAGTCACCATGCAAGAGTGTTGGAGAGTTGGTGGGACGCAGTCACAGGAAAACTGGACGGGCGTGGAGTTGACCAATGGCCAGCGGTGCGCGTCATTCTGTCTTGGTATGCGGTACGTCGCCAGATCCAGTGGTATCAGTACCACAGGTCCAGCTGCAACTTGAGTAGATCGTTGTTCCATTGCTGCGCAGCGCATCACTCTGTCTTGGTGTACGGTACCAGGTCCAGTGTTGCATTGCCCGGGCGGGAGAACACCACCTGCACTCGGCGTATTAATGGGTTCGGATGGTTGGTGGAGTGTTGGAATGGAATGAAGCAGTGCGCAAGACGAACAGAACGAACAGAAAAGAAGGCCAAATTAGGCCCTTCTCAAATACATAGGCCAGCTCGACGTGCTGGCATATCACCTGAACCTTAACCTGAAAATAATTCTGATACGTCAGCTGAATCCTCTCCAAATACTTGGGAAGAAAACTAGATGAACTGACTCTGGTTTGGCTTCTGATGCACTTCACATTCCTGTAATCAGTCAAACCTCTCTAAAATTACCAGAATGAACCTGAGCATGCCTGAAAACACCCTAACCCCTCTGAATCACCTGAATATCCCCAAGCGTGCGCGTTTGGAAGCCCACAGCACAGTAGACGAAGTAGTACTGCCATGTGCGGATGAACTTGGGACCGAACCCCATCTCCATGATCTCACTGCGAGGAGGAGAGAGTGGAGAAAGGGAGAGGATTGGAGAGTGACAGGGGGAAATGACAGATCACTACTTGTGCATGCATCATGAAGTTGACATGCCATCCTAGTGCCATTCCATGCCATGCCAATACCATGTCAATACCATGTCAATACCATGCCACAGCCATCCCATTAGTCTAAACCGCCACCTAGGCACTGAATGTATGACTGTGTCAAAACATATAGCCTGTGCGCCATGTCGATGCCACCTCGATGCCATGCTATGTTCGTTTCCACGTCACTGCCATCTCAATGCCTTCTCAACGCCATCTCAACGCCATCCCAACGACATCCCAACGCCATCAAACCCTCAAGCCCTCAGCACTCACTGCCGGTGAGCCATGAAGTTGCTGTGCATGTGAGGAAGGAAGGTTGGTGCAGTGAGATCACGGAGATGGGTTTCGGTCACTGCGAAGAGCCATGAGCATTGTGGCATCCCCGTGCCCTGCTCTATGCTATTCCCATCCCATGCCATCCCATGCCATCCCATGCCATCCCATGCCATCCCATGCCATCCCATGCCATGCCATGCCATCCCATGCCATCCCACGCCATCCCATGCCATCCCCTGCCATCCCATACCATTCCATGCCATCCCATGCCATCCCACTAAATGCAAGACTGTAGCGCGACTCACTGCCGGTGAGCCATGAAGTTGTCGTGCCATCTCATGAGCGTTGTGGCGTAGTGCGGCCCAATGTTCTCCAGCTCCTCCACACTGGTGTTTATGAGAGAGGGGGGAGGGGGGAGTGGGGAGTGGGGGGAGGGTAAAAGGCATGGGTAACACCAATGCATGAGCGCCGTGGCGTAGTGCGGCCCAATGTTCTCCAGCTCCTCCACACTGTTGTTGATGAGAGAGGGGGGAGGGGGGAGAGAGGGGGGCGTAAAGAGCATGGGTATCACCATCTCATGAGCGCCGTGGCGTAGTGCGGCCCAATGTTCTCCAGCTCCTCCACACTGTTAGTCGGTAGAGGGGGAAGGGGAAGGTGGGGGTCATGCTAAGTGGCATGCACAGCAGTGGCATAGTCATAGCGCAGTGGACTGATGCTGTGAAAGCTCCTTCACACTGTTGTTAACGAGGATATGACAAGAGGGGAGGTGGGGAAGAAGGAGGGGGGAGATGGGTTACAATGGGCATGGGTAGAGCGGCGGTGTCATGTCATGGGGTAGAGCAGCGATGTCATGTCATGGCGTAGAGCAGCGGTGTCATGTCATGGCGTAGAGCAGCGGTGTCATGTCATGGCGTAGAGCAGCGGTGTCATGTCATGGCGTAGAGCAGCGATGTCATGTCATGGCGCAGAGCAGCGATGTCATGTCATGGCATAGAGCAGCGATGTCATGTCATGGCGCAGAGCAGCGATGTCATGTCATGGCGCAGAGCAGCGATGTCATGTCATGGCGCAGAGCAGCGATGTCATGTCATGGCGTAGAGCAGCCCGATATTCTCCAGCTGCTTTACACCGGGCATGAGAAGAGAATGACTAAAAAAAGGGCATGGTGTGGCAAGCAATAATGGGAGGAAGGAAGCTTGGTGCAGTGGTGTTTTCACGTGAAGGTAGGTTTTTCACTGTGTTGAACCAGAATTATGACCTTGTTGTTTCCACCTGAAGGCGGCGTTCTGGCCCTGTTGTTCTCACCTGAAGGCAGATAATTCAGCTCTGTTGTTTTCACCTGAAGGCGGAGTTCTTGGCCATGGCGTCGGTGAGAGCAGAGAGGGAGGGCACGCAGCAGCCGGGGAAGATGTACTCCTTGATGAAATCGGAGGATAGGCGGTACTCCTCGTAGCGGCTCTCTGGTGTGGTGATCACCTGATGGCGGATGGGATGGGATGACGGAAGAAATGGGTTAGGGCGTGTGTGATTTTTTTTCGAACTTCCCAAAGTTCGAACTTTTATAACGGTTCAACACGGTACGATACAGTTGCGAAATGTTTGACCACGGTGCAAAGCGGTTTGAGTTCAAACTTTGACATAAACCCCAAAATCACACACGCCCTTACATTCGGATGGGTGCCGAGGGGCGGAACGAGAAAGAAGAACAAAGGACCGGCAAGTCATACAAATTAAAAAAATGGATGCAATTGAACAACCACCTTGGTTCGAAAGACATCTGAACAACCACCTGAGCTGTGAAGGCACCCGTACAACCACCTGAGGCTGAAGCGCATCTGAGCAGCCACCTGAGACTGAAACGTATCTGAACAACCACCTGAGTCTGAAACGCACCTGAACAACTACCTGAGACTGAAACGCACCTACCACCTGAGACCGAAACGCACCCGAACAACCACCTGAGACTGAAACGCACCCGAACAACCACCTGAGACTGAAACGCACCTGAACAACCACCTGAGACCGAAACGCACCCGGACAACCACCTGAGACTGAAACGCACCTGAACAACCACCTGAGACCGAAACGCACCCGAACAACCACCTGAGACTGAAACGCACCTGAACAACCACCTAAGACTGAAATGCACCTGAACAACAAGCAGCCGTCCATTGTGAGCAGCCGGTCGCAGTGGTGGAAGAGACTTTTGAGTCGACTCACAAGGCACCTTGTTACAATGGCACATGAAACACAACTGAACAACCACCTCACCTTGTTACAATGGCACATGAAACACACCTGAACAACCACATGAAACACACCTGAACAACGAGCAGCCCGTCCATTGCGAGCAAGCGGTCGCAGTGATGGAAGAAGTCTCCCAGGTACTCGTGGCCCACCGCCTCTAGCATCTCACTGCGGTGGGGAATGGGGACGTCAAGCACTTCAGATGGGGATCGCTTATGGGGGATCGCTTATGGGGGATCGCTTATGGGAGTCGCAGTGATGGAAGAAGTCTCCCTGGTACTCGTGACCCACCGCCTCTGGCATCTCACTGGCAGGGGGGAGAGAATGGGGGGAAGTTTGACAAGTTTAAAGATCTAGAAGTTCGGAAGGCATTGCAGACACGGGAAGCTTTGAAGACATGACCGGGGTTCTCCGTGGCCCACTGTTGAGGCGCCTCAAGAAAAGCTTTGAAGAAATGACCGGGGTACTCTGTTCTGTAGCCCACTGCCTGGAGCATCTCACTGCGGTTCTCTTAGGGGAGTGGGGGGAGCAGAACGCATGAGAAAGGGGAAGTTTGGAAGAGGAGACAGGAGTCAGGATGCGGTCGAACTTGCCGGGTTTTCAGACGTCTCAAGAACACTGGTTGAACGTGGTTCGGAGAGGGAAGGTGAATTAGTTGCACTACTGACCGCGGCATGGTGTCTTTGAGATTTTGTAGGAACCACCCTTTGGCTTGGAAAGGGAAGGGTACTAGGTTGCTTGCACTTACGCTGACACTGACACTGACACTGACACTGACACTGACGCTGACACTGACACTGACCATGAGAGGATGCGATCAAATTTGCCGGTGCCTGGCAGGTTGCGGTAGTCACAGAGCATGAAGTTGATTCGATCCTGGTGGGGATGGGTAGTGCGGACGGGAGAGGTGGGGTGGGGATGAGTTAGTTAGCGATGCGGGGAGAAGGAAGGAAGGCAAACGATAAGATAACTTCAAGACGTTATAAACTGGCAGGTTGCTTGCGATAGTCACAGAGCATGAAGTTGATTCGATCCTGGTGGTGTGGGTGGATGTTGCGGAAGGAAGGGGAAAGAAGGGGATGGGTATGTGACGTGGGGAGAAGGGGAGGTGAGCAAGTTGTGGAACAACTCAAACTGGCAGACTGCTTGCAGTAATCACAGACCAAGGAGTTGGTTTTCTCCTAGTGGTGGGGATGGGTGGGTGATGTGGAGAGGAGGGGAGTGTGGGCGCAAGCTTAGATATGCCTAGGGATGAGCAAGGTGGCGAACACCTGTTCGGTTCGCCACGAGCGTGTTCGAGGCGAACCGAACAGGTTTTGTTTTTCAGCTTAAATCGTTCGCCCGAACGTGTTCGATGTTCGCCCGAACACGTTCGTGTTCGTGGCGCTGCTGCAGAACGCCCCGTGGCTAACACGAACGTGTTCGAGGTTCGCCCGAACACGCCTCCACAGGCGAACAGCGAACACCTGTTTTTGCCTAAACTGTTCGCCGAACCGAACAGTGTTCGGTTTGGCAAAAGAGGGTGTTCGACAAGGGGCGAACACGAACGTGTTCGTGTTCGCCCTTTGCTCATCCCTAGATATGCCTTGAAATGGCAGGTTGTGGTACCTACCAGCCAGGCATGCCCCACCACTGAGCCCCACACACTGAGAATGAGAGAAAGATTCTACAACAAACGGCTAGTCCTGACCTGACTCCTGCCTGTGTGCATAGCTGCAGACCTGCCGCCTTGACTAGCTTAGTGGCGAGCTGCAGCAGCTGAGAGGAGAGTGTGATGCCTGTGTAGCGACACTTTGTGGATCCCTAGGAGAGTGTGATGCCCGTGTAGCGACACTTTGTGAGACTGAAAGAGATCCACGTACTGAGACAGCCTACAATGACCCATGATCCTGCGCGCGTGCCTGCAGCCCTGCCCATGCACATACCTGCAGTCCTGCTGCTTTCACTCGCTCTGTGGCGAGCTGCAGCTGCTGCGAGGAGAGTGTGATGCCCGTGTAGCGACATGTGACTCGATCTGTCATTGCACATACCTGCAGTCCTGTCTCCCACCTTCAGTCCTGCCTGAGAGTAAGGCAGTGCATACCTGCAGCCCTGCTGCTTTGACTCGCTCTGTGGCGAGCTGCAGCAGCTGAGAGGAGACTGTGATGCCCGTGTAGCGGCATGTGACTCGATCTGTCATTGCACATACCTGCAGTCCTGTCTCCCACCTTCAGTCCTGCCTGAGAGTAAGGCAGTGCATACCTGCAGACCTGCCGCCTTGACTCGCTCTGTGGCGAGCTGCAGCTGCTGCGAGGAGAGGGTGATGCCCGTGTAGCGACACCCCGTGAGACTGAAAGAGATCCACATACTGAGACAGCCTACAATGACCCATGATCCTGCGCGCGTGCCTGCAGCCCTGCCCATGCACATACCTGGAGTCCTGCTGCTTTCACTCGCTCTGTGGCGAGTTGCAGCTGCTGCGAGGAGAGGGTGATAACCGTGTAGCGATCTGTCATTGCACATACCTGCAGTCCTGCCTCCCACCTTCAGTCCTGCCTGAGAGTAAGGCAGTGCATACCTGCAGCCCTGCTGCTTTGACTCGCTCTGTGGCGAGCTGCAGCAGCTGAGAGGAGACTGTGATGCCCGTGTAGCGGCATGTGACTCGATCTGTCATTGCACATACCTGCAGTCCTGTCTCCCACCTTCAGTCCTGCCTGAGAGTAAGGCAGTGCATACCTGCAGACCTGCCGCCTTGACTCGCTCTGTGGCGAGCTGCAGCTGCTGCGAGGAGAGTGTGATGCCCGTGTAGCGACACCCTGTGAGGCTGAGATGAGACTCGCACACTGAGCCTGCGCCACACAAATAGCCTGCGCACACACCTGCAGCCCTGCTGCCTTGACTCGTTCTGTGGCGAGCTGCAGCTGCTGCGAGGAGAGTGTGATGCCCGTGTAGCGACACCCCGTGAGGCTGACCGTCTCCAGAGCCAGGCTGCCCCACCCGAACCCGATCTCAAGCACGTGGTGCGACGAGTCTATGCGCGCCTGGGGGTAAAGGAGAGGGGAGGAAAAGGGGGAGGGGATAGGGAAGGGATCGTAAACAATGTGAGCCAAGCTGCCCCACCCAAACCCGATCTCGAGCACGTGGTGCGACGAGTCTATGCGCGCCTGGGGGTAAAGGAGAGGGGACGGGGATAGAGAAAGGGACTGTTAAGCCAAGCTGCCCCACCCGAACCCGATCTCCAGCACGTGGTGGGAGGAGTCTATGCGCGCCTGGAGGGATCATGTGTGGCACAATGCAAGGGAGAAGGGAAGATTTGTAAACACGCGAGACAATACACACAGCACAGCCCAGATGCCCCACCCGAACCCAATCTCCAGCACGTGGTGGGTTGAGTCTAGGCGTGCCTGGGGTAATGTGATGGAGATGGTACAGTATGGTTAAGCACAGGGCAGCAGAGGCAAATACTTTAGCCACAATCAGGTACGTCAGCTTGCACGGCTGTGCGCCCACTAGAGCTGGCTCCTCGAAGATGGATGCGCGGTGGAGAAGAGCATGAATGTACTATGAATCACCCACACCACACCATGAGACAATGTTTGAGGCTCCTCAAAAACCGCGAGCCATGAGACGACTTTTGAGGTGCCTCAAAAATTGACTCAAGGACGGATGCGCGGTGGAGAAGAGCATGAATGTACTATGAATCACCCACACCATCTCAACAGGCTGCAGGAGCAAGACATCACCCTCCTTGGCAATGAGACGTAAAAGTCAACTCCCTAAGCATCCACTAGAAACTCCTCTGGGATTCATTCTTTTGAGTCGACTTAAAAGTCAACTCCCTAAGCATCCACTAGAGGCTCCTCTGGGATTCACTCTTTTGAGTCGACTTAAAAGTCAACTCCCTAAGCATCCACTAGAGGCTCCTCTGGGATTCATTCTTTTGAGCCGACTTAAAAGTCAACTCCCTAAGCATCCACTAGAGGCTCCTCTGGGATTCTTTCAGTTTACTATTTTTAAGGCGCCTAAAACAAAGATGGATTCATTCTAGTACCCAGCATGCGACGTTTGAGTCGACTCAAAAGTCACCTCATTTAAGTACCCAGCATGCGCCACAACACACACACACACCACCACCACACCATCACTGCGGTGGCATCATGGTATGCCCCCAGTGAGCCTCTTACCCCACCCACCTTGGCAATGAGGCGCCTCAGCTTGCGCAGCTGTGCATCCACCAGAGGTTCCTCTGGTCGCTGAGCCATGCAGAGGGCGGGAGAGGAAAGAGGGCGGGTTAGAAATAGGGCAAAAGAGTGAGAAGAGAGCGTGGGAGACAAAAGAGGGAGGGTGGAAAAGAAAGAGTTTCTGGGAAGGCAGTTAAGAAGGATGGATACTAGTGGAGCTGGAACGTGAGCAAGGTATGGAACGAAGACAGACCTGGAAGATGGCGCATGAGTAGGTCATGGTTTCGTCTAGGAAGGTTTGGAAGAAGGAGGTTTGGGCGTGCTGCAAATGAGAGCACTGATCCACTGACTGTTAGAATTAGGCTGTCAACACTTTGTGTACTATATTCTATATCGCGTAGGTTATTTGTGGGTTGGGTGTAGTTTGTGATCCCAACCCTATCTGGTTGGGATTCCCTCGTAATCCTGCAAATCTGCCAACTCACCAATTGGAGATTTGCTAGGATTCCCATCCCATCTTTTCCCTAGCCTTGCCCATCCCAACCTCGTTTGTACTTAAGGCCTAGTGCCTTCTTTCTTAATAAATCAGTTCAGTTCCAATTCTATCATGGTATCAGAGCTAGCAAATTCCGCTCACGCGGAATGCGATCCTTGGCGTCGCAATCATTCTCTTCCTCTCGGCTATGGCGTTCTCGGTTCACGCCTTCTTCGCCTAGCATTTTCCATCTTCACATCGTCGCACTGGTCAAAAGCGCTTTCCCGCTCCGTCTACGTGCATATTCGATTTCCACGGCGGCACATTTCTCCGTCAATTTCCTTCATCGTAAGCTCTGAAATTTCATATTTCCATGGCAATTTTCTCACATTCGAAACTTCCAGCAGGTTTTCATCAGTGCAGCAGAGCAGGTTCAGCGGCGCAGCAGAGCAGGTTCAGCGACGCAGCAGAGCAGGTCAGCGGCGCAGCAGAGCAGGTTCAGCGGCGCAGCGGAACAGGTTCAGCGGCGCAGCAGAACAGGTTCAGCGGCGCAGCAGAGCAGGTTCAGCGGCGCAGCAGAGCAGGTTCAGCGGCGCAGCAGAGCAGGTCAGCCGCGCAGCAGAGCAGGTTCAGCGGCGCAGCAGAGCAGGTTCAGCGGCGCAGCAGCACAGGTCAGCAGCGCAGCGGAACAGGTCATCGGCGCAGCAGAAAAAGGGTCATCGGCGAAGCAGAGAAGCAGAACAGGAATCGCAATCTTATTAGCAAAATCGCACATTTCCACATTTCTGACTTCATCAATTTTCAAAATCGCCGCGCTGTGCGCAGCCGCTTAAGTCACCGAACTTCGCTCCGCTTCGTATCGTTGACTTAAGCGCTGCGCTCCGCGCGAATGGCGACTTCAACTTCTACCCTCGTCGGAAAACTCATCATTCTCAACCTTGCTCCCGAAGGCACGAACACCAACTTTGGAGAATGGTGCTATGGGGTGGAGAAGCACCTCCTTAGCACGGAACTGAAAGGGGATTTGCCTTAAAGACATCCTCCTCAACCGCGGCAAGGGAAAGATGCCTCTCCCTCCCGATCCCCTTGGCGAAGGCGCCACTGCCGCAGAGAAGGCCGCTTTTGACGCTCAGACCACCAAGTACGAGACTAATTTCAGTGTGTGGGAGCAGGCAGATGCAGCAGTTATTAGGGTTTTCATCACCACCACTCCGGTTGAGCTCGTCAAATCCTACCGCACCTTTCGCTCCGCTCATGCGATTTGGAAGAACCTCCAGGTTCGTTTCCATGACAAGACAGCAGTGGGTGTTGCCATCCTCATCCCTCGAATGTTCCAGGTCCGCCTTGAGGAATGCCCTGGCATGGCAGATTACATCTCTGAAATCCGCAACATCCATGAGGAACTCAAGGACATTGGGATCATTTTTCCCGAACTGGCACCTGCAGCTGGCCTACTTGTAGGACTGACCCCGGCCTACAATGTCTCCAGCTCCATGCTCAAGCAACTTCCCACCAAGGAACTCACCTTCGAAAAAGTCGCATCAGCTCTCCTTTCTGCCGAAAAGGACCTTGCAGCCCAAGCATCCGTCAATGCTGTGCGCTACACCCCTGGAATCCCATTCCGCTCCCAACAAGGACCAAGGCGCAACTCCTTTCCCCCATGCCCCTACATCATAAGGAAAGGCCTACGTGCGGGGCAGAAATGCGGAGGCACCAACCACCCTGATGCAACTTGCTTCAAGAAGCGAGATGATGAGTGGTACGACGTCCATGGTGTCTCCACCAACAAGCGCCCTCCCAACTGGGCCCCACCCCGTCGCGTGAACCATGTCGAGGCAGTGGAGGAGCCTAGTCCCTCAGTTGATAGCACCCCATCTGATATTCGCTTCAACCTGTTGTTCTCAAGTGCTGGTCTTATTATTGAGAAGGGGTCACATTATATCGGTGTTTCAAACACACAAGGGATCGAGTTCATACTAGACAGTGGTGCCACCGACACAGTGCTCAAAGACCAAACCGCGTTCGTTTCTTACTAGGCTCCCATCCCACTCCTCGGAGCCGACTCTAGCTTTTCCATCCAATGCCATGGGTCCTCCACAGTTCCTTGTCCAGCATTTCCATCGGGCACAGTCACTGGCATCTGTGCCCCCACCCTCCGCCACAACCTCCTGGCACAAAGTGAAATTCACCAAGCAGGAGTCATCACCATCTTTCCCAATGATGTCGACTACTGTGACCTCTTTGACGCCAAAACCGGCATTCATCTAGCCCACTTCACTCTCAACTCCAACAACCTATACACACTCGTAGTACCTCCCATTCAAACGTGCTCCCTCACAAACCTCCCGTCACCTTCCCTTGACTCTTCCACCTGTCACTGCCGCCTCCTTTTCGACAAAACCATGCTCTTTCATCACCGCCTTTGCCACATCAACTTTCGCGCGCTTTCAGACCTTGCCACAAAGCAACTCCTCCACGGGCTTCCAACCTCACTTCCCTCTCCTACCTCCACCCTAGGGCCGCCTTGCCTTGACTGTGCACAGAGCAAGCTTCGTGAACAGCCACATCTCCGCATTGAGTCCGTCTCCGCTGCACCTCTCGATCGCGTGCACATGGACCTTTGGGGCCCAGCTCCTGTTCGCTCTCGCGGTGGACATTTTTACTTCTTTGTCAGTATTGATGACTACTCCCACTATGTGTCTGTCCACCTTCTCTCCTCCAAATCCGAAGCCCCAGGCGTAATCATTGAATGGGCGAAGCAGGCTCATAAACATTTCAAAACCACCATCAAGGTTCTTCACTCTGACGGCGGCGGTGAATTCCGCAACAACACTCCCAAAGCTTACTGCTCCATTGAGGGTATTCGTCAGACCTTCACTCTCCCGGACAGTCCCCAACAGAACGGTATTGCCGAAAGCCGGAACCGTACATTGGTGCAGGTTGCTCGCTGCCTCCTCACGCACGCCTCCGCCCCTCCCTCTCTCTGGGGGTACGCCATGCTTCATGCTGACGCCCTCCACAATCTCCATCCCCATCCTCATCACACCCACACCACCCCCGCTGAGCTATGGACGGGTCAAAAGCCATCCGTCCGCCCTCTTCGTGTATGGGGGTGCACTTCTTATGTCCTCCTCAACTCCCAAGCCCATCTTGCGGCTGGCGGCAAACTTGCTCCCCAAACGATCACGTGCGTATACCTCGGGCACAACTTAGACTCGCCAGACTATCTCTTCCTCCATCCTTCCACCAATAAGCTCTATCGCAACCAGGACGTTTACTTTGATGAGTCCCACTCATTCTACCCCTCCTCCAAGTCTTCCCCCTCTCCTCCGCCTCCCTCTCTTACTTGGGCTGACTTTGACAGTTTCCCTCTTCCCGACACTCCATCTCCTCCTCTTCCCGCTCCCTCCACCATTTCTGATCCCCCATCACCCGCTTCCCCCTCCAGTACCACACATTCTCCCTCGCTCCCTCCCTCCTCCGCTACCCCTCCTCCATCTCCTCTCGCATCTCCTCCTACCGAACCCGTTCCTCTCAAAACCTACCAAAGTCGTCACCCAGCTCCTCCTCCTCCTGCTCCCACCCCTGATCCCGATCCTGTCTCCACTCTCCCTCCCACTCCCACCTCCCCTTCCGCTACGCCTACTCCGGCCCCGCCTCCCTCACCCATCGCTTCTCACACCCGCTCTCGCACACTTCCACAACCGTTCTCCCTTTCCGTTCGCGTCTCTCTCAATCCTCCTCCTCTCGGGGGTGATTATTCTCTCATGCCATCCCTCCTTGAAGATAGACATGAGGAGTTGATTGATATCGACTCAGCCATCCACGCACTCTGCTCCCTCTTTCCAGACATCGCAGACTCTCCCACCCTCAATTTCTCCGACAACCCTTCCATCCCCACACCTCTCACCTATGCTGAAGCAGTCTCTGGTCCTCACGCCGCTCAGTGGTTTGGGGCCATTGTCGCAGAATGTGAGGCCTTCATTCACACAGGAACTTTCACAGACGTCTCTCCTCCCTCCGGCGTTAACATTGTGAAGGGAAAATGGGTCTTTCGGGTGAAACAACTTCCAGGCGAATTTCCTGTCTTCAAAGCCCGGTACTGTGAAAAGGGATTTACCCAAAAGCGTGGACTGGACTTCTGTACACATTCTCTCCCACCGCCAAACCTCCCACACTGCGCACCCTTCTCGATGTCGCTGCTCGAGATGACATGGAGGTTGACTGCATGGATGTGTCTTCTGCGTTCCTGCAAGGGATCCTTCGAGAGGAAATCTATATGGAGCGGCCCGAAGGATTTCCAACTCCTTTTCCACCAGGCACTGTATGGAAGCTGAATCGGCCAGTGTATGGCCTCAAGCAAGCTCCCCGGGAATGGCACAACAAGCTAAAGAGCACCTTAGGGTCCCTCGACTTTCACCCATCCACCTCTGACCCAAGCCTCTTCATCCGAGCAACACCCTCCCGGTTCTTCATCCTCGTTTATGTCGATGACATGATCCTTGTCACCAAGGATCAGACTGAGCTGGCAGCAGTCAAAACCGCACTTGGTGAGAAGCTGGCCATGAAGGACCTTGGGAAGCTGACGAACTATTTGGGAATGGAAATCACACGTGATCGCACAGCCCGCACCATCACCCTTTCGCAAAAGTTTTACATCAACAACGTTCTGACGAGGTTCCAGATGCAGGAAGCAGCATCAATGCCCACCCCACTCTCTCTGCAACACCAACTCACTGCACCCTCCGTTCCCTCACCTGAGCCCTGTGACGAGCCTTACCCCGAGCTTGTGGGTTCCCTCATGTACGCGATGATGTGCACTCGACCAGACTTAGCCTATCCAGTCAGTGTACTGTCCCGCTACGTTACACCTGGTCGCTTCACTCGCCACCACTGGTCTGCCGCCAAGCGGGTTCTTCGCTATCTCAAAGGCACACAGGATTATGTGCTCACACTTGGCGGCACTTCCCCGGTTCGCCTTGAGGTGTACAGTGACTCATCCTATGCTGATGACCAGAGTGATCGGCGCTCGTCCCAAGGGTATTGCTTTACCCTTGGCAGTGGGGTTGTAAGTTGGCGCTCCACTCGGTCGTTTTCCGTCTCAAGGTCGACCTGTGAGGCAGAGCTGTATGCCGGGACCATGGCTGCACGGGAGGCTCGTTGGCTCTCCTTCCTGCTGACAGAACTGGGGTATCCCCAACCAACCCCAACGCTTTGGTGTGACAACGAGAGCACCATTCATCTCACCAAAGACCCCGTTTTCCATGGCCGCACCAAGCACATTGAAGTCCGTCACTACTTTCTTCGGGAGCAAGTGCAGCGCGAGCAGCTGAAGGCTGAACACATTGCCTCCGACTGCAACCTTGCTGACTTGTTTACCAATTCGCTTGTTCGCGAGGATCATTACCGCCTCCTCTCGGCCATGGGTGTTGGGCCTCCTTGTGGCTGATGTGTTGCAGCCTAGGGGGTGTGTTAGAATTAGGCTGTCAACACTTTGTGTACTATATTCTATATCGCGTAGGTTATTTGTGGGTTGGGTGTAGTTTGTGATCCCGACCCTATCTGGTTCGGATTCCCTCGTAATCCTGCAAATCTGCCAACTCACCAATTGGAGATTTGCTAGGATTCCCATCCCATCCTTTCCCTAGCCTTGCCCATCCCAACCTCGTTTGTACTTAAGGCCTAGTGCCTTCTTTCTTAATCAATCAGTTCAGTTCCAATTCTATCACTGACATCCCCACTGCTCACCTGGAAGATGGCGCATGAGTAGGTCATGGTTTCGTGAAGGAAGGTTTGGAAGAAGGGGGTTTGGGCGTGCTGCAAATGAGAGCACACGGATTCACTGACATCCCCACTGCTCACCTCGAAGATGGCGCACGAGTAGGTCATGGTCTCGTCTAGGAAGGTCTGGAACATGCCGTTGCTCTGGAGGGATTTGGAGGGGGGTGTTGAGAGGAGGTGAGGGAGGGCGAGAATGAGTATGAGGAGGGTCACAGTGGTTACTGGGTCATGGTGGTTACCATGTCAAAGTGGGTTCCATGTCACAGTGGTTACTTGGTCATAGTGGTTACCAGGTCATGGCTGTTACCAGGTCATGGTGGTTAGCAGGCGATGGTAGTTTACCAGGTAGTTGTAGTTACCAGGTCGTAGTGGTTACCAGGTCGTAGTGGTTACCAGGTCGTCGTGGTTACCAGGTCGTCATGGTTACCAGGTCGTAGTGGTTACCAGGTAATTGTGGTTACCAGGTCGTAGTGGTTACCAGGTCATAATGGTTACCAAATCGTAGTGGTTACTAGGTCGTAGTGGTTACCAGGTCGTAGTGGTTACCAGGTCGTGGTGGTTACCAGGTCATAGTGGTTACCAGGTCGTCGTGGTTACCAGGTCGTGGTGGTTACCAGGTCGTGGTGGTTACCAGGTCATAATGGTTACCGGGTCGTAGTGGTTACCAGGTCGTAATGGTTACCAGGTCGTAATGGTTGGAGATGTTGCGGCGTGCGTTGGTGAGGTTGTTGAATCGCAGCAGGTGTCTCGCGTACAGAGCTGCCGATCCCACCACTGCTGTCAGCAGGGCAGGGCTCCACCAGCCCCTGACAGTTTGGGGAGGAGGAAGGAGTGGAAGTGAGTATGTGGGATAGGGAGTATGAACAGAGCCAGACCAGCCACTGCTGCCGGTAGTGCCAGCATCTCCTGGTGGTGCTAGAGGGGGAGCAGGAGGAAGAAGTGGAAAACAGCATGTGTGTGATTGTGAAGCCAAACCCGCCAGTGCTGTCAGCAATGCAACAGTGCATACACAATAGTGAGTTATCAAGCCGTGGTGTTTGGGGAAGAAAAGGCTGGGGATAGTGCTTCGATCTGGATAGAAGCACCAGACAATAACGGGAAGGAAAGAGGGCGAGTACGAAAACCACGGGGATACACTACTCATCCATGTGTACTGTGCCATCCCATTCATTTTGATTCACTTCTTCTTTGCGACATCTCAAATTATTTGAGACGTCTCAAAAATTCACCCTTATCCCGCTACTCATCCATCTGTCCGCACTACCCCATTCATTCGGTTTGACTCACTTCTTCTTTGCGGGTCGCTGGCCGGGTTGGTTGTTGCGATCCCTGTTGGCAATCACGATCTGCGATTGGGCAAGGGGGGAGGGGAGAAACAATGCTGATTTTTTAGGCGCCTTTTGAGGCGCCTTAAGAAGGGTCACTGGCCGGGTTGGTTGTTGCGATCCCGATTGTTAATCACGATCTGCAATTGAATAAGGAGGGAGAGAGGAGCAATGGGGTCGGGGAAAGACAGGTGGCAGAACGTCCGGCGATCGTAAGGGAGACAAACACAGACGAATTGTATTGGTGATTAACAGCAAATTCTACAGTGCAAAGACGTCTCGAAACTCAACTCGTGTGCTTGTGATGAGCTTGATGGTGACTAATAGCTGTGAGGAGAAGGGATCCGTCACTTAGGCTGCAAGCCATTGCTTTGCATTGCAGTCCGAAATTCAGTCAGCCAGCTAGCAGTCAGTCAGTCAGCCAGCAGCCAGCCAGACGGTCAGCTGGCCACCTCGATTCAGCCTCACTCACCTCGAGGAACTTGAGGAGCCCTCTGAAGCCCTGAGGGAAAGAAGTGCCATGTCACCAGCCCTGAGGGAAAGAAGTGCCATGTCACCGTTCTCAAAGGTGGCTCAAGCCAGTCACTCAGTGAGACAGGAGGGGCTCACCTCGAGGAACTTGAGCAGCCCTCTGGAGCCCTGAGGGAAGGAAGTGCCGTGTCACCCCGTCCACAAAGGCATCGCTTTGAGAATTGCCGAATTCAGATGGTGCAATCATTCAGTGCGACAGGAGGGTCTCACCTCGAGAAACTTGAACAGCCCCCTGGAGCCCTGAGGGAAGGGAAAGAGATGCCTCCGTCCACAAAGGCATCATTCTTGAGAGTTCTCAAAGGTGGCTCAAGCCAGTCACTCAGTGAGGCAGACTCACCTCGAGGAACTTGAGGAGACCCCTGGAGCCCTGAGGGAAGGAGATGTCTCCATCCACAAAGGCATCGGCCAATCCCAGGTCTGCACGTGTCGCCACCTGCAGTTACCAGGGTGAGGGAACAGGTTGCAGGTAAACATGCCGGTACAGTACAGGTGAGAAGGCTGTGACTTTTGAGCCAGCTCAAAAAGGGAGGGAGGGTGCAAGGGAACAGTCGTTGGACAAAGACTCGCTAGAATCACGCACCTTCCAATAGAAGGCGGGCGAGTGCACGGTCATCTGACAGTCCAGCTTGGTTCCTTGTCTCCCAAACCGGTACACTGTGCCTCCTCGCTCCAACAGCCTGGGAAGACAGAGAGGGTGAAGAGGGGTGAATTGGGGTGAAGGAGGTTGAAGGAAGGTGAAAAAGGGGATTTGAAGAAAGCAACTGGATTGTTGCCCTACATGTATAGTCTGGATGGGCAATATGGTGGTTGAAGGGGAACAGGAACGGGAGCACTGTCACCTTGGGCACGTGGACATGTATGCACACATAAGGAACAAGGACAAGGATGCATACATGTAGGCACAAGGACATGGATGCATACATGTAGGCACAAGGACATGGATGCATACATGTAGGCACAAGGACATGGATGCATACATGTAGGCACAAGGACATGGATGCATACATGTAGGCACAAGGACATGGGTGCATACATGTAGGCACAAGGACATGGATGCATACATGTAGGCACAAGGACATGGATGCATACATGTAGGCACAAGGACATGGATGCATACATGTAGGCACAAGGACATGGATGCATACATGTAGGCACAAGGACATGGATGCATACATGTAGGCACAAGGACATGGATGCATACATGTAGGCACAAGGACATGGATGCATACATGTAGGCACAAGGACATGGATGCATACATGTAGGCACAAGGACATGGATGCATACATGTAGGCACAAGGACATGGATGCATACATGCAGGCACAAGGACATGGATGCATACATGTAGGCACAAGGACATGGATGCATACATGTAGGCACAAGGACATGGATGCATACATGTAGGCACAAGGACATGGATGCATACATGTAGGCACAAGGACATGGATGCATATATTTAGGCACAAGGACATGGATGCATACATGTCCACATGCCCAAGGTGACAGCGCTCCCGTATGTACTCGACATGTATGCTATGCCTCCATGAGGAACACAACAAGGTGTTTGATTCAATCCAGTGAACACCTCCAGTGAACACCTCCAGTGAACACAACAAGGATATAGTTTGAAACGACGACCTCCAAGGCTGAAGAACTCACTGCACGGATCCGAGATGAATGAAGGGGCGCAGGAAGGAGAGAACTGCAGCCTTGGCGGCCTGAAAGTGCAGCGGGAGAAGCATCTGAGGAGTGTTGCGCTGCAGCTGCAGAGCTGGGCTGCTGCTGGCGCCCAGGAGAGCGTTGGCTGCAGTCAGACCCGCCTGGGAGGGATTGACGGGTGAGAGAGGGTAATAGAGACGGATGGGTAAACACATGGAAGGCTGGTAGTGCAGCGGGAGGAGCATCTGAGGCGTGATTTGCTGCAGCTGCAGAGCTGGGCTGCTGCTGGCGCCCAGGAGAGCGTTGGCTGCAGTCAGACCAGCCTGGGATTGACGGGTGAGGGGCAAAGAGGATGAGGGGTAAATGCATGGAAGGCTGATAGTGCAGTGGGTGTGGGAGGAGCATCTTGGGAGTGTTGCGCTGCAGCTGCAGGGCTGGGCTGCTGCTGGCGCCGAGAAGAGCGTTGGCTGCAGTTAAGCCAGCCTGGTAGGGAGATAAAAGGGAGGGTGGGACAGGTGTGCAGGGGCAGATGAAGGGAAAAAGGGTGCACATGCAAGGTGTGTTGTGGTGCTTGGTCAAGGTGTTGTGGTGTATGTGCAAGATACTATGCTGTATGTGCAATATGGTTTGGTGCATGTTCAAAATGCGATGGTGCATGTGCAAAGCAGCGCGGCACGATCTACATGAGGAATTGCACTGCGGCACTGTGCTACATGATGCATGATACATGATGCATGGTGCACGCACGATACATGATGCATAATACATGATGCAGTGATACATGATGCATGGTGCACCATACATGATGCATGATACATGATGCATGATGCATGGTGCACGCACATACCTTGAACCCATCTTCATGGAAGCCATATCCTGCGAGATGAAACAAGGCAGAAAGATAGGGGGAGTGGGAAGGGAGAGAGGGGGGAGGTGGGAGAGAATGAGGCAGGGGCACTGAGTGGCACAAGAGTCCTGTAACAAAGGGTTGCACTGCTGTGTCACTTGTGAGAATACTTCAAAGTGGCTCAAAAGTCTTGATTTGACGATGGGGCGGTGGCATAAGCTTTGACCCAGACACTCCACGTACCTACATATGCCCCACAGAAGTAGATTCCCCTCCTTCCTAGCACAGTGGGGAGCAGTCTGGCAGCAGCCGTGGCAGCCGTGGTGGGGAGCGGGTGGGAGGGATCTTACGAGCTTTGACCAGGTCACTGCACGTACCCAGATATGCCCCACAAAAGTAGATCCCCCTCCTTCCTTGCACGGTGGGGAGCAGTCTGGCAGCAGCCGTGGCAGCAGTGGTGGGGAGCGGGTGAGAGGTGACCCACTGGTGATGCACTGTGCCTTTGATTCCAGACGGAGGGTTGAGGGTCACCAGAATCGGCTCTCCTGTGTCCCCAAGATTCTGCGTTGAAGATAAGGGATTGACAGGGTAAGGGTACAGGGATAGGGTAAGGGATAGTGAATGGAGGGTGGCAGCCGTGGTGGTGGGCGGGCGGGAGGTGGTCCACTGGTGGTGCACCGTGCCCTTCATTCCAGACGGTGGGTTCATAGTGACAAGGAGGAGTCGCCCGTGTCACCTAGATTCTGCAAGGCAGGAGTCGATGTTTAGTCGACTCAAAAACCGACTTATCACGCACTGGTGGTGCACCGTGCCCTTTATTCCAGACGGTGGGTTTATAGTGACAAGGAGGCGGTCGATCATGTCACCTACATTCTGCAAGGCAGGAGTCACAGGGTGCAAGGGATAGGAAAGGGTTATGAGATAGGGTAAGGGATAGGGGAGGGAGAGAGGGAAGTAAGGGCAGCAGTGGTGGGGAGCGGGTAGGAGGTGACCCGCTAGTGGTGCCCCGTGCCCTTGATTCCACATGGTGGGTTGGAGAGTCACCACCAATATGGACTCTCTAGTTTCTGCACGAAGGGAGGCAGGGGGTACAAGGGATAAGGGCGATGGCGAGGTACCGTACTGCACAATGGTAAATCACCAAGTATGCTCTTTGAGTCACTCACAAGGGGGGGCGCAGGTGGGAGGTTGGACGTTCTACGTTCTGCCCTGCACACTTGTTGTGTAGCCCGTCTGCAAGCATTACTTACGCGCCAAGTGTGGAATTTTGGCGTAGAGCCTCCGTGACCCACGCCTGCATCGTGTTGAGTCATTAATATGGCACTGTAGCTCAAACTCTCAAACCACCCACCTGCAGCTCTTAAATCACACCCACCTGCACCTCTTAAATCACACCCACCTGCAGCTCTTAAATCACACCCACCTGCAGCTCTTAAATCACACCCACCTGCAGCGTGTTGAGCCAGTACGTGACACAAACCCCTCCCTTCGCGTCCACTCCTCTGAAGTTCCACGCGCTCCAGGCGGCCCTTCTGGTGGGCATGAGGGACTTGTCACGATGCAGAAAGATGGTGCTGGGGGAATCGAATGGGAGGAGAGAAAGTGAGAGGAGAAGAGTAAAGCTCAACTTCCCTGAAATTCCACGAGCTCCAGGTGGCCCCTCTAATGGGCCTGAGGGACTTGTCACGATGTAGGAAGATGGTGCTGCAGGAGGAGGGGAGTGGGAGTGGATGGAGGGGGGAAGGGTGGGCCATAATGCAATTAGAGGCATGGCCGCTCCATGCTGGTATCCCAGAGGCCATGTGGGACTTGTCTCAATGGAGAAAGGTGGTGCTGGTTGGAAAGGACAGGGGGGAGCGAGGGGAGGGCGAGTAGGGAGCAAAGGGTGACAGATTGGGCGGTTCTTCTAGCAGGCATGAGGGACTTGTCTCGATGCAAGACGATGTTGTGAGAGTGGAGGAAGGGTGGAGGAGGAGTTGGTGCAGGAGGGGTTTTAATGGAAGGAGTGGGAAAGGGTTAGGCATGAAGAGTTCACTTCACAGTGCAGTGCCACAGGAGTGACGTCACAAGTGTAGTGTAACTGGTGGTGTATTCAAAGGCGGAAAATACCCGTCGCTCCTCGTGAGTGGCTCCTTTCTCCAGCAGTGGCATGGCAGGACGGCATCCTCATGCAGCACCTTCTGAGACGCCTCAAGAGACGATGCCGCAGGAATGTTTTTAAAGTGCCCTTAGGACTTGAGTGTACCTGGTGGCGTATTTGAAGGCAGAAAATACCCTCCGCTCCTCATGCGTGGCTCCTTCCCCCAGCAGCGGCAGCACGGTGTCGCCATGCACTGCCAGAACCACCCGGTCATAGCGCTCCGATGTTCCGTCCCCTAGACGCACTTCCACGCCTGCGGACAGAGACAGACGAGGAGGGAAGGAAGGGAAGAAGAGATGAGGCTTCGCCCAGCATCACCCAGCACCACCCGGTCGTAGCGCTCCGATGTTCCGTCCCCTAGACGCACGTCCACGCCTGGGAAGGGGAGAAGGAGCGGGCAGGGGTATATTCAGAGGATGTGTCCCCTTCAGCAGCGGCAGCACGGTGTCGCCATGCACTGCCAGCACCACCCGGTCGTAGCGCTCCGATGTTCCGTCCCCTAGACGCACTTCCACACCTGCGGACAGAGACAGACGAGGAGGGAAGGAAGGGAAGGGGAGATGGGGCTTCGCAACGAGCATCGCCATGCTCTGCCATCCATCCAGCACCACCCTGCCATCCATCCAGCACCACCCTGCCATCCATCCAGCACCACCCTGCCATCCATCCAGCACCACCCTGCCATCCATCCAGCACCACCCTGCCATCCATCCAGCACCACCCTGCCATCCATCCAGCACCACCCTGCCATCCATCCAGCACCACCCTGCCATCCATCCAGCACCACCCTGCCATCCATCCAGCACCACCCTGCCATCCATCCAGCACCACCCTGCCATCCATCCAGCACCACCCTGCCATCCATCCAGCACCACCCTGCCATCCATCCAGCACCACCCTGCCATCCATCCAGCACCACCCGGTCGTAGCGCTCTGCTCTGCTCTGTGCTGTCCCCTAGACGCACGTCCACGCCTGCGGACAGAGACAGACGAGGAGGGAAGGGAAGGGAGGAGAGGGCTTAAAAAAAGAGCATCCCGATGCATTGCCAACACCTTTCTATCATACCGCTCTGCTGTGCCAACCACTAATTGTACGTGACACGGGCTCGTCTACCCCTGGGAACCACAGACATGAGATAGCCACGTGATTGAAGAAGGGTTTTGAGACGTCTCAAAACCCTTCTTCAATCACGGGGACATGAGATACGGGAGTAGAAAGATGGTGTTTACGGCCTGCAATCTGCAACCGAATGTTAAAAATTCTCGCATGGCTTGTTTAAAGCATTGCCCTGCCACGTTGCATTCATCGCCTCTCCACATCACAATGTAACGGTTATATGGAGCATTGCATCTTGCAACTCCCAGCATCACACCGCCCGATTCCCAGATACACAAACCTCCCTCCCAGCGTTACGTCTCTCACTCACCTTCCTCGCCCAGGCTCTGCACCCCAGTCACTTCCGTGCCGGTGCGGAAGGCACCCCCTCTGGCTTCCACGGCCGCCATCACCTGTGGGGAACAGCGGGAGATGAACATTCTGGGGGTGTTGGGAACACTCGAACACCCCGTTTCTGGAGTGTGTTTGGGACGAACCAAGAATGTTCGGTCTGACCCAATAAGGTGCGCGCTTGACAAGTGTTCAAACCAAACATGTTTGCGGTTGGGTGCCTAGTTCTGGTGTAGCGTGCGTGTGTGCGCTGTGCAATCACACACATCAGGGATCTGCCATGGTAGCCTGCGAAGCAGCTGGGATGACTCTTGAGTCTACTCAAATGTTTGAGGCACCTCAAAAGGATGACTCTTAAGTCTACTCAAAAGTCGTATTGAGCCGACGGAAAAATCAGTGAAGCTCTGGCTTCAATTATTATTGGTCTACTACTTTGGTCTATGTGTGTGAATTACCTTCTTCACGTAGGTCTGAGATCTGCCTGAGACTGTCAGCCATTGTGGCCTGCCAAGCAGCTGGGATGGGGAGAGAACAAAAAAAAAATACAGGGTTTAGGGTTGAACAGAAGGGTCAGCATGGGGCACGACAACAATAGGTGGTAAGCACAGGCTGTTCAGCGGATTTCAGAATGGTTAAGTACGGTGATGATGCTAAGGGAGGGACGGGAGCGTAATTGCAAGAAGCGTTCAGGACAGGCTTATTAGAGAAAGCTGCAATGTACATGCAGAACGCGGTGGTGCTTATAACGAACCTGCAGCATGTGGTGGCTGCTCTTATAACGAACCTGCAGCATGTGGTGGCTGCTCTTATAACGAACCTGCAGCATGTGGTGGCTGCTCTTATAACGAACCTGCAGCATGTGGTGGCTGCTCTTATAAAGAACCTGCAGCATATGGTGGCTGCTCTTATAACGAACCTGCAGCATGTGGTGGCTGCTCTTATAACGAACCTGCAGCATGTGGTGGCTGCTCTTATAACGAACCTGCAGCATGTGGTGGCTGCTCTTATAACGAACCTGCAGCATGTGGTGGCTGCTCTTATAACGAACCTGCAGCATGTGGTGGCTACTCTTATAACGAACCTGCAGCATATGGTGGCTGCTCTTATAACGAACCTGCAGCATGTGGTGGCTGCTCTTATAACGAACCTGCAGCATGTGGTGGCTGCTCTTATAACGAACCTGCAGCATGTGGTGGCTGCTCTTATAACGAACCTGCAGCATGTGGTGGCTGCTCTTATAACGAACCTGCAGCATGTGGTGGCTGCTCTTATAACGAACCTGCAGCATGTGGTGGTTCTTGAGGAAGGAAAGCACGGAGAAGGCGTTGAAGCTCCTCGCGCCATCTATCCCAGTCGACCATATAGAGGCGCACACTGGGAGCTGAGAATAGGGAACAGGAAGAGAAAGGAGGGAAGGAGAAGCGGAGAGGGACGGGGTGTGCCACGTGTGAAAACGAAACCGAACGGGCATTGAAGCTCCTGGAGCCGTCTATCCAGGTAGACCATATAGAGGCGCACACAGGGAGCTGTGACAAAGGGTAAAAAATAGGTGAAGAGGTGGAGAAACGGGCATAGAAATCTTGTGAGTATGTGGAACCGGAGAGGGGGAGACAGAGAGGAACAGAGTAGGCATAGAAACTCCGGGTGCCTCCATCCCAGTTGATCATATAGAGGCGCACACTGGGAGCTGAGAATAGGAAACGGAGGCCAATGGGGAGAGCAAGAAGCGGCGAGAGGAGACTGGTCAATAGAGAGGAAACAGAATGGGCATGAAGCTCGTGGCTCCATCCACCCTGGTTGATCTTGACTGTATGGGGGCGCACACAGGGAGCTGAGACGCAGGGAAAAGTATAGGTGAGGGGAAGGGGAAGAAAATGTGGGGTTAGTATGTGGTTGGAGACTGGGAGACAGAGAGTGCCATCCACCCCGTTTGGCCAGATAGAGGCGCACACAGGGAGCTGAGAAGAAGGAAATGGAAGAGAAAAGGGGGGAGGAAGAAGTGGCGCGCGATGTGTGCCACGTGGGAACACAGAGATTAGGAGTTGTGGGAGGAAACAGAACGGGCGTCGAAGCCCCTGGTAGACTATATAGAGGCGCACATGGGGGGCTGAGAGCAGGGAGAAGGAAGAGAAAGAGTGCTGAGTATGCGGACACAGAGACTGGGAGACAGAGAGGAACAGAGTATGCATATATGGACGTTGCTCCATCCACCTCAGAAGGTAGCGATTGAACGTTCGCAGGCCGAAATTCAGTACTTCCAGCCAAAGGCTTGATCCAGCATTGGCCTACCCTGATGGTCAGAACCAAGGGTGTGATGAGTCGATTTTTGAGTCCGCGTGTGATGAGTCGACTCATCACACATTGGCCTACCCTGATGGGCAGAACCAAGGGGATTGGAAAGATTGACCAGGTAGCAGTCGCAGAACATGGAGGAATACCCATTACACTAGGCTTCCATCACTCACATAACCTTCATTCACCAGGAACAACTGTCACACTGACCAGGTAGCAGTCGCAGAACATGGAGGAGTACCCGCGTTCCTTCAGGAACTGCCCCAACGTCTCTGTGAGCAGGGCGCTGCTGCCTGCTGGTGTTGCTGGTGATGACGATCCGGCCCCGTTGCTGCTACTGCTGCCGTTGAGCGCAACTGACTGCCTCTGCAGCACTCCAGAGGCTTCGACCTTGGCGAGGTAGCTGCGGGACGGGGGAAAGAAAGGGATTGACAAACAGGAGCACAATTCAGGATCAGAAGAGTCGCCTAGGCGACTGTGGAATTGTCTCATCATGTGTCGTTGAGAGCAGCTGATTGCCTCTGCAGCACTCCAGAGGCTTGCACCTTGGGGGGAGCTTACTACTAGTGCAGTGAAGCCTAAGCATGGTGCGCTACAGCCTACAGGACGCCAGCAAATGTTACCAACTCTTTCAACAAAGCATGGAGCAATCACAGTGGAAGAATATCATCCACCACATCACAGCATGAGCCAGCTGCCATTATCATGGCCAGAAGACAGTTCCTCGTGCATAACATAATAACACTGCAAGGCACCTGCATGGCAGCACAGGATCCTCACTTGAGCACATCCTCGAGGAAAACAGTCGTCTCTCGCAGCATGAGCCAGAAAGAAGGCGGGAAGGCTTTTCTTGGCGCACAAACACATTTAGGCACCTCACCTGCGTAGCCTGTATCCAGCGTGCGGTGCAGTGCGGTGCAGTGCAGTGCACTATGAGCAGCAGAGGGACTTACTTGAGCACATCTTGGTGGAAAACTGTCATTTCTCGCAGCATGAGCCAGAAGAAGGCCGGAAGGCGTTGCGGCATGATATGAATGCAAGGCACCTGTGGATGGAACCTATGCAACTTGCCACTCACTTGAGTACGTCCTGGTGGAAAACCGTCATCTCGCGGAGCATGAGCCAGAAGGAGGGCCGGAAGGCGTTGCGGCGCGAAGCAAAGAGGCCCGAGAGGCCGTTGCTTCCCCACTCGCAGCGCGGCACCGACACGGAGAAGGACATGTCGGAGGGTTCTATTGCCACCTCTAGTTCCTCGAAGAAGGAGAGCATGTTGGGGTAGGTCACCTGGAGTTGAGAAGGGGTGAAAAAAGGGGGTCAAGAGAGGGTACGGACACCAAAAAGGACATGTCGGAGGCCTCGATCGCCACCCCTAGTTCCTCGAAGAAGGAGAGCATGTTGGGGTAGGTCACCTGGTGTTGAAAAGGGGTGAAAAAAGGGGGTCAAGAGAGGGTACGGACACCGAAAAGGACATGTCGGAGGGTTTTATTGCCACCTCTAGTTCCTCGAAGAAGGAGAACATGTTGGGGTAGGTCACCTGGAGTTGAAAAGGGGTGAAAAAAGGGGTCAAGAGAGGGTACGGACACCAAAAAGGACATGTCGGAGGGCTCGATTGCCACCTCTAGTTCCTCGAAGGAGAGCATGTTGGGGTAGGTCACCTGGTGTAGAAAGGTGAGGACAGATGGGGGATTGAGAGAGGGCACCGACACATAGAAGGACATGCCAGAGGGCTCGATTGCCACCTCTAGTTCCTCGAAGGAGAGCGTGTTGGGGTAGGTCACCTGGTGTAGAAAGGTGAGGACAGATGGGGGATTGAGAGAGGGCACCGACACATAGAAGGACATGCCAGAGGGCTCGATTGCCACCTCTAGTTCCTCGAAGAAGGAGAGCATGTTGGGGTAGGTCACCTGGAGTTGAAAAGGGGTGAAAAAAGGGGGTCAAGAGAGGGTACGGACACCGAAAAGGACATGTCAGAGGATTCCATTGCCACCTCTAGGTCCTCAAAGAGCATGTTGGGGTAGGTCACCTGGTAGAACGAGTGGGCGAGTTGGAGGGAAGAGGGAGGTCGGGAGGGGAGAGACACCGAGAAGGACATGTCGAAGGGTCCTATTGCGCTCTCCAGCTCCTCAAAGGAGAGCATGTTGGGGTAGGACACCTGATAGAGTGGGAGGAGGGGGGAACGGGAAAAAGGGGGGTTGGAGGGGACACAGACACTGAAAGGACATGAAGGAGAGCATGTTGAGGTAGGTCACCTGGTGTTTGGGTGTGGGGGAAGGGAGGAAGCATGGGAGGAGAGGGGGGATGGAGAGGACGCGTGAGAGGACTCCATCGCCACTAGCTCCTCTAAGAAGGCGAAATGTGTGGGGAACGATAGTCACTGGGCGACTCGACTTCTCATGGGCGACTCGACTTCTCATGGGCGACTCGACTTCTCATGGGCGACTCGACTTCTCATGGGCGACTCGACTTCTCATGGGTGATTCGAATTCCCATGTCAAATGCATGTAGTCGGCATAATCCAAAATTAGAAAGCGAGAAACCCAGTCCCAATGTGCAACCACCAACGGCTTGGCAGAACGACATTTACAAAAGCAATGCCGTCTCGACATGCATCATCCGCCAGCTGCTTTCAGACGATCGAGCGGGTTCAGTCAAAATGAGTGTCGTCTCAGCAATGAGAATGTGGCTAAGGGAGGCTATTCGTATGATATGATTAAGGCCAATCACTTTGACGAGGCCACTCGTATCTGTTGAGATCCCTTAGTTTCTGACCACGCCACTGCTATCCGATGACGCTATCCCGCTCTGAACCGGCGCATTTCAGCGCGTCGATGCACGACATGTGACTGAGAAGAGCCACATTGCTCTCAAGGGCTGGCATTCCACCATGATTGTATCCAAGTTCATCAGGCAACTTCCAAGGGATCGGATCACGCCTCTCACAGAATGACGTCTCCTCAAAATATCAGATCACGTCACTAAAGCACCCCAATTTTCAAGATCAAGTCACGTCACAAGATCGGGCCTCGTCACAAGATCACGTCACGTCACAAGATCACGCCTCGACCAAGTTCAAGCCTCGTTACAAGATCACGCCACGTCACGGACGCACCGAGTTGAAGACCATGAATCCGAGGTCCACATCAACGCCATCGTCCGTGCTATACGTGAACGCATGGCCGCCAATGTGCGAGTCTTTCTCCAACACCGTCACCTGTACCCCCTGTTTGCTCAGTCGCCATGCCGCTGCGAGTCCGGCGACGCCTGACCCAACCACAGCCACTTTCATCGTGCCCAGCCGCTTCTACGCCCGGTGATCAGAAAGCTGTGTGTTTTTATCGAGGAAAGGGTCTCGTTTTCATGGAATGGCGACGGAACAACCAGTTGAAACTCAGCTCAAAGAGCCAGAAAGGAGAACACCTGGGGCTTGTCGAAAATGATTGTGGGAGCAAAAGGTGCAGTCTCGAGGAGCAAGCAGCTGTTGTGATGATATCGAAGAAAGATTGGCGCAGCCTGCATGCGAACCTATGGCTGGTAACGAGCGAATACGAGAAGTAGCCGTCACGACTCGTAAAGCTGTAAGCGATTGTCGCAAATCGATAATGGCGGAGGCTGATCCACGTGGAAAAGCACCACAGAGCAGTATGACGTCATCAACCGAGATTCTCGGAACCAGGGAGCATGCCAACATCAATGGCCCAAAAACACCTAGACAGGTGAATAAAGTGTACACTTTTGTTTGCAAAACGTACCTGATTGTTAAAATACAGCACATTAGGTGTGGTGGACGCCACAAAGATCCTTGGATCAGGGATTCACAATATTCATCCCTAGTCTAAACAACGCTTTACCCTAAATGAAAGTGCTGATCTGACTGGCTAACACTCCAGTTGCTGATCCAAAAAAGAACCATGTCATAAATCAAGCCCATCCTATCCAGCTGACAAGAATGAGCATCTATGGTACCACCAAAAGACAGAACCTCAACACCTAGAAACCAAACAGACCAAGCTCAGTGGCCCTCTCCTTATCAAACATCTCGAAGTACTGATAGATGATGGTAACGGCAAGGAGAATTCCAGTGCCGGAGCCAATGGCACCCATGAAGTCAGCAACAACGGTCAGCGCACCAATGCACATTCCACCAAATGCAGCGGCTGTGGGAATGTAGCGGTTAAGCTCCTTCTGCAGGTTGGATTCGCGATGACCAGGCATAACCATTTGTTGCTCCTGGATACAAATGGGAAGGCAGGGGGATAGAAATGGGGTAAAAGAGGGGGACGAGGAGGGGGGCGTTGGGGAGAGAAAGGGTGGAAGAGGAAATTGGGGGGGGGGGGGGGGGGGGGGGGGGTTGGGGGGGAAATGGGGGAGAGAAAAGAGTGGGGGGAGAAGGGGGAAAGTGGGAAAGAGTGGAAATCATGGACATGTACGTGGGAACTGAGTGTACCAGCTGGACATTAAAAAATAGAAGCAGCTGTTATCTCCCAATGCAATGGTCAAGACCTTGTGATGTCAAGGTTGAGGACAACCTCGTGGAAGCAAGAGGATCACTACGCAACAGATGGCATGCTCACTGCGAACTTCATAAATTAGACCTTAAGTCAGCTGGAGAACCCCAGAACAAGTAAACTGTAAATTCATGGCTGTTATTTCCATGAACTTTCGGGTTTCAAAACTAAGGCAGACGACTCTGGTTGTCTAGCCCGTTGCTATCACATGACTTCACATTTCACCCGCGAAAAGTGGTGCCTTTATTGTTATACCTCAAGCTGCCTGGCGCACTCTTCACAAGCCAACCCAAACATATACTAAAAACCTAAATAACCCAATCCTCACCTTGAGTTGCTTCGCCACGTCGCGTGCAGACGATCCGGAGACCTCAATCCACGTCTTGGAGAAGAGTGCGCAGGCGGAGAGCATGAAGGTAACGTAGAACAGAGCGTGGAACGGATGTACCGCAATGTCCGCCAAGCTGCTCAGAAGGGAAATAATCAAGACTTTGGTTGGATTCACGAAACAACGACTCGAAATCAATTGCCGTATCCCACCACCATGAGAGTCATGTGACAACGACTCGAAATTTCCGCAGGCGTTTTATGCACCAACTTGAACAAATGCAATGCGAAAAACTGTTGAGAAAGTGGAGAAAGTAGCGTCAGTCATGTCAACAGCAATGGAAACGGACACTAACCTCGCGGGAGGGGTCATGTAATAGACAAGTCCGCCGACAGGAATGAGCTGGCCTGAACTTGAGTATTCCGATTCAGCCCACACACCAAGAAGGCGCACAAGGATGAAACCGCCATACCTCCGATAAAGCAGCTGTATACAGGCACAGACATCGATAACACAATCACGCAAATAAGTAAGGCTACGGAAACAACCACCGGAGCAAAACCCTCCGACCAGCAAGAAACGTAGAAAACGAAATCTATCAGGATTGTTATGCGATTTCCCAGTGCTGAACCCTAGACACACCTGCGAGATGAAATACAGGTTGGAGACGAGAGCCGACTGCAGAATAATAGGCATGTTCGAGGTGTAGAAGAGCTTGATGGGGTAAGAGCCCTGCTGTCCCCTGGCGCTCTTAGAGCGAACAGGGAGCACAACGCGGAAACCCTGGAAGTAAATCACGATGAGGAAGACAAGCACGGTGGCTAGTAGGTTGGTGACATTCGGCAGGTTCTGTCGGTAAAAGGCTTCCTTGAGCGCGCGGACTTTGTCGGTCCGGGTGATGAGCAGGTGGAAGAGAGCGATCACGGCTCCCTCAAACTCCGCGCCACGGCCAGCGTTGATGGTCGTAGGGCTAAATGCCTTCCAGATGATGCTTTCACTGCAATAGATACCAAGTAAATGAAATTGGATAACATCAACAAGAAGTGATTTGGAGGTGTAATTCGTTTTAGGACATTGGGAATTTCGGTGAGGCAGATCTGGATGTCCGAACAGACGGAGTTCCCTTGAAAGTCGACAATGTGAGTAACATGCCAGCTGGACAAAAAAAGGTGTCAGCTTACCAGATGTTCGTCGCGATGAAGAGGGAAATTCCAGATCCAAGGCCGTATCCCTTCTGCAGGAGCTCGTCAAGGCAGATGATGATGATGCCGGCGAAGAAGAGCTGCACGATGATGAGAATCGCATTCGTCGCACCCAGATCGCGCACATCGCCGTACATCCCCGAGACGACATATGCGACAGCTTCTCCGACCGTGATGAGGACTCCCAGGAGCTTCTGAGCACCATTGCTGAAAAATAAAAATAGCAATCGGAACAATTTCACCTTTTTAGGTTACAGCTGATCCGGATACACGCCGCGGAACAATCAATAATGGCATATCGGATCTGAGTAGGACTATGCAGATAAAAGACAAAGACCTTATCTAACCCTAACGGCCTCGCACTATTATTTGCTCCAATGTCAGGAAACCATTCCGCGACTTACATCAGTTCTCTATCTTCCTTAATGTTGTTATCCACCTCGATCAGCTTCGACCCTACAAGAAGCTGAATCACCATGCTGGATGTGACAATGGGAGTAATTCCCAACTCCATGACAGTACCCCGGTTGGAAGCCAGAATAACACGCATCCAGTAGAACGGATCTGATCCTGTGGCTGTATGGATGCCATAGAGTGGAAGCTGACTGCAGACCAAGAAGATGAAGAGCGAAACGGCGGTGTAGAGAAACTTTTCCCTAAACGGCACTTTCCGATCTGCGGTCTGCACCTCCGGCAAAAGGTTCAGAAACGGCCGGACGAGATGCAAAACTCTAAAGCCGCCACCCATGGTTCCTAGTCACAAGCACCTAACACCTAAGATTTCAAATCCCGGAATGGAGACCTTCGAATGAGATAAACAGAATGAGTGGAAAACAGATCAACTAGTTCAGGAGCTGACGGGATCCAGATTTGAGGAACGCGTTCAGGTGGGATGAGGAGAAATCTAGGCTGGGTTGGAGGGAAGAGAATGACCGACCCGACGCAGTCTGCAGCAGGTGGTTGGGTTGGAAAAGCGTCCGTGGCAGGCACTGGAAGTGGGGGATGGAAGGAATTGGGTTGCTGCTGGCGGTTGGGAAGCGCAAACGACAGTTTCGAAGCATTGTTACCGTGTGCTAGAGAAATATTTTTGTAGCAGACCAGTATGAAATAATATAGGGTATTCTAGTTCCGCATGAAGAGCTTGTAGGTAAAGTATATCTGATGAACATCAGACAACATCAGTAGAGTCTACAAAAACAGAACACAAAATAAACAGGTGTTACGAATAGCAACGAATGAATATTATAATACACTCCCAACCGCAGCTAAAGAAGCATGCAGTATCGAGAACGAATGTGAAGAGTCATAGTTGACTCGAAACGACAGATGGTTGAGATGCATCCGGACCGTTGGAGCAGACGACATCGGGCAGCTGCACGCAGGAGGATCTTGGCGGGAACAGTTTCGCAACTGTACGCGCTGGACGGTTGAGAATAAATTTGAATAAGGGAATGTACTGTTAGAGTTATATTGATATAAAACTGCATGTAGTTGTAGCTGTAGTGTAGTATTACATTTGGCTGTTGGTGGTATACATCGCTTCTCTCCTATTTGTACCCTTTGCGCAATAGTGAAAACCCACTTCCTTTCTCGACATCCTCCTCTCTCGTCACCTTCCTAGGTTCCTAACCTAGTCTACTTTCTGACATGTACCCCTTAGAGTACATGGCTAGCTATGACGATTCAGATTCCCCTGTACTCATACTTATATCGTTGTATTTGCATGTTTTAATAATCTCAAACATTTTACATTTACTCTGCTATTGAAGTCACGGGCCCACCACCACTAGACCAAGGTGTGCGAACCAGGGGTTTTTTTATCAGTGTAATTTACTCTGTTTCTCTGAAAATCAGAGTGGTTTTTGTTGGAAACAATAAGTCCTAAGTGCGCTTCTGTCGTATCAAAACCCAAGGCACCAAGCGAAGCAGTCCCAATCGAAGCATCGAGTCAACCTCGGAGGTTAGGGTAACCGCCTGGAGGTTACGAGAAAGTCAAAGGTCGCTGACCTTTGACTCGACAATCACAGCGCGACAGTTAAGGACACACAACTGACTCGTTACAGAGCAGTTGCCCGAGTCGCACTGTATCGAACCGCAACAGCAATACAGTTATCTACCTATCTATTCGTATTCCCTGTACTCTTATATAAATCCTTGTATTTGCTTGTTTAATTCAATCTACTTTGCTCTCACACACCAGTGCAAGGTCGGTTCACAATCCTCATCAAACGCTTCCGCTATTACAAGTTTTCTACCCAAGAGTTCTCCTCTGCAAAGATCCTAAGGGCTATTTTCTCAGCCCAACATGGTATGAGAGCAGACAGGGGAAAACTCTAACTTTTTTTTATCATTACAAGACATGGCAACAAACAAGGAAAGGAGCTCCCCTAATGGCTCCTCGGGGACTACTCCTACTCCACCACCAGCCTCTGGCCTGCAGACAGAGGAAGGCACGGCAGCAAGACCAAGGGGAACGTCAACCGAGACCCCCACGAACCATCCTTCTGACTTCGACCAGAACATGATGGAGAAATTTTTCTCCTTCATGTCCTTCTACGAGCAACACCAGCAGTCGGGACCTGCACAGACACACAACAGCAACAACGGAGCGACACCCATGAGCCTTGACGGGTCGTCATATGCGCGAGGGAATCAACAGCAGCAACCCACCTTCGCCCCGTACGAACGCGGGTCGATCAGCTTCCTGCCTCAACCTCCACCTGCGCAAGACAAACCAATGGATGCCTTACAAGTACAGTCGCAGTTCGCGCATGTTCTGAAACTACAGACGTCAAGACCTTTCGACGGAAAGGACTTCTTTACCTGGTCCTTTGAATTCGAGTTGATGATGGAGGGCGCGCAGATACTTGGCTTCTTCGACGGATCCCTGCAGTATCCAGCAAACGGGACACAGTATGAAAAGCAGCAGTATACGTATCAATCCATGATGGCGTATACTATTCTACTGAGAAACATCACACCAACCCAGCAGCAGAACATTCGCTCCTACCGGAACTTCGGCAACTCGGCGGAACTCGCGTACGGCCATCTGAAGAACCTGTACCAGGCAACAGACAGTGTAAACCAGAGCAGGTTAATGGCGCAGCTGACAACAGTGGAAATGAAACCAGGAGAAAAAGGGTTGGCGTATATCAGCCGATGTCGCGAATTGCGCGACAAGCTTCTTCGATGTGGAGGGTCAATCTCTGAAGACGCCTTCGTAACAGTCGTCATAGGCGGCCTCGGTCCTCAGTGGCGCGCCACCAAAGCAATTCTTCGAGCACACGGGAGGATCTCCGAAGCGGCACTTTGCGCAGAAATTCACGCGGAACAGCAGGATATGGACCTGCAAGAAGAAAGACACAAGAAAAGGACATTAGCACCGGAGTTTGCTTTCCATACTCAGCGACGACACAACTACTACAACAATCGACAGCAGCAGCCGAAGTCAGTACCTCCATTTTGTCACATCTGCAAGACATCAGGACACCCACGCTCGCACTGCCCGTCTCGACAGACAACACCACAGCGACAACTGCGGCCTTCAAGCACACAAGTTGCTTCGACACAAGCAAGTTCGACAACCACGATTCAAGCTTCAACGACCTCAACTGGACAACCTGCACAAGGAGCAAGACATATAGTCAACTGCATGGTCAAGATAAACGACTCTTGCATAACAGAGTCACCACCCCATTACTCACCGGAAGAGGAGCTCGACAACAGGACGCCTCGTCGCGAATCACTCCATCCAAATCCGACTTACGCCGCTATCGCTCAAAGTGAACCGTCCGGCCAAGACACCTGGTTCTTGGACAGTTGCTGCGGGCAACACATGTGCTCGTCCGGGCGTTTCGTACAACGCGAACATCGACTCCAACGGGAAGTGATCATCACGGTTGCCAACAACCAAAACCTGCGCACACGAAGACAAGGAGTGGTACAGCTTCAGTCAAGAGAAACAAATGTCATACTGCACATGTCTAAGGTACTCATCGCTGAAGGACTCGGCTACAACTTACTGAGCGTTAGCCAGTTGATGGCGAAAGGAATTCATCTGGAAGCCGACAGCACGACCCAGGAGTTCAAGCTTTACCACGGAAGAGGCGGTCTCTACATCGGGAAAGCAGTGCTGAAGAACAACGTCTTCGTCCTCGACTTCGCTCCCGACCTCGGCACTGCAGACAGCGACGCCATTGTGAACTTTGCTGAATGGACACACCCTCCGGATCTCGATCCCGACTTCAGCCCGGGAGGTTTCTGGTACTCCCACACTATCCCTGAAGCAGAACGAACAAGAGCGTTAGCAACAATTCAACAAGAAGCAGAGACAACAACATCGGCAGCAGCAACAACATCGACAGCAGCAACAATATCGACAGCAGCAACAACATCGGCAGCAGCAACAACATCAGCAGCAGCAGGAACAACGACACCAGTCACAGTCGACGAAGCACCACCAACACTCGCGCAACAGCTGAATCCGACTCAGCGTGAAGTCCACCGAAGCGCCAACCTCGTCGCCAGCTTTTACTCCAACTCCGACGCATATCAGCGTTCACCCGGACACCGCGCCTCTGAAGAGATCTGGCACGCACGCACAGGACATCCAAGCAACACAGTTTTGAATAACACGATAAGAGCAGGAGTCCTCGACAAAGACTCTCTACTTCTACCCGATGGCAGAGAACTCCAGAAGGCACGAGGGACTTGCCTTATATGTCCCGAAGCTGACTTACCTCATCGACCGTTTGCTTCACATCACAACCCGAGCGCTCCAGCGTACGCACCACTCGAAAAAGTCTACAGCGACATCCTCTACAATCGCGAACCAGGACAAGTCAACTACAACTACACCATCACCTTCATCGACGCTGCTACTCGATACGTCTGGCATCGCAACCTACCCAGCCGCGACATGGCGCTCGCAGCATTCGCCGCCTGGCTACCGATAGCAGAGAGAGAGTCTGGAACACAACTGAAAAATTTCCAGTCAGACGGAGGTGGCGAGTACACCTCTCAGCGCTTCAAGCAGTTCTTGGCGGAAAGGGGGATCAAGCAACTCCTCTCCCTTCCCTACGCACATCAGCAGCAAGGTGTTGCAGAACGACTGAACAGGACCCTGCAGAACAGCATG